ACTGAGTGGATGAAGAACTCTCACTCTTTCTCGTGGGCAAAGCACAGCCCTAGTAACTGAGGGCGGGCGGGTGGACGGCTCCAGGGTCAGCCTGATCGCTGGCTTAGTCGTTCAACCAGACTTTTGCCTGCCCTTCTTGGCTGCCCCGAGACTCCCTGGGCCACATGGCTTCCTCGGCAAGGCGCCTTCCTGTATGGGGGTGGGCCGGGTCCGCATCCCACTCACGCCCTCCCAAGGCCTGAATGCACCCAGTGCGGAGAGAGGTGGAAGAAACCACTGGAAGCCACTGGCTGAGGGCAGGAGAGATGAAACCCAGGAAGGAGCACCAGAGCGCAGGGCCGGTAGGATCACACCAGGCTCAGACAGCATCTGATTCCATCTAAGAAGGGGGGACCGGGAGCCAGCCGAAGGCCCTGTTGTGAGGTACAGGACTGTGGGCTGTCCTGGGACCCAGCTGTCTCTTCTCCTTCACACTCAGATTAGCAAGGACTGTTGGGAGACCTTCAAAAGACAGGACAGCTGCGGGCCGCCCCAGCGGAGTCCCAGCAAGGGCGGCCTCCCTCTCTTTCCCCCACCGTCCGCAGACGTGGTCCTCCTCTCACTTCTCCACCGTAGCTGGCTCCCCACGCAGCCTCTCCAGTGCTGGTCCCTCAGCGTCCAGCTTCCACCCCCTCCGATGCCCCAGCTCCTCTGACCCGGGGTGGGACCTCTCTCGCCCTCTGCACAAACACAGCTCGGAAGTACGAGCGACTCGACGCCCCGAGCATCCTGGACGCTGAGGGCAGAAGCCCGTGGGTAAGCAGGTCTCCCTTGGTCCTTCTGGAGGAGGCTTTTGAATGCTTCTCAGAAAGTCCACGTGGAATCAAGCCCCCGTTGCCCACAGCATCGACCTCAACAGCCCCAGCCCTCACTCCTGCTTCCTAGAAGGACCACTTCCCAAATAAAGCATCCGCACCCAAGCCTCGCCTCCGACTCTACTCCCCCGGACGCGGTACCAGCTCACGGGGGCCGCCACAATGAGGAGGGGGAGGTTAGACGGCCCCAAACAACAAAAATCTATTTGCTCACGGTTCTGGAGGCTGGAAGCCCTCCATCAAGTTTGGTTCCTTGAGGCCGTGAGGGAAGGACCTGTTCCAGGCTGGCTTGGGGACAGTCATCCCCTCCTCATGTCCTCATGTCCTTCTCTGGGCCCCAACTTCCCCTTTTCTTAGGACATCAGTCACGTGGGATCGGGGCCCATCCTCCGAACTTGCTCTCATTTCATTATCTCTGTAAAGAACCTGCCTCCAAATAGAGTCGTATTCTGAGGTACCGGAGGTTAGGGCTCTCGTATATGAATCTGGGGAGGCGGGGGGAGGCGGGGACGCCACAGAACCCTGGGGACGGTGTGGGCTCAGTGGGAAAGCCTGGAGGAAGAAAATCGCAGCCAGTTCGGCCGCTATGGATTCAGGCCCTGCTGTGAACGCCAGAGAGCCTCTCGGAGGTTTTTTGTTTGGGAAAATAGAATTATTTCCGTATTTTTTTTTCCACATGGGGCACATCTCGCAGACCACTAGGCCCAATATTTAGCCGTGAGAGGAGCAGAGGACGCTGCATGTTGCCCAGACAGGCCTCTTACGCCAAGTTGGGGACTCTGACAAGAAAGGAACAGGAGCCTATGCCCTGGGATGAAAACATTTGGGATGAGGGGTTTGAGGAGTCTTCTGGCCACTGGAGCTGGCAAGGGGCAGCCGGTCACCCTGACTGGGGAAGGCAGGCCTCTTGCCCAGTGACCGTGGGAAGGCCTTACCCGGGGCAGGAACCTCTCCAGATTACACTTTTTCTTCTCAAGATTCACGTCCGCCTCCTTTCCTGACCCCAGCACGGACCAAGCAGGGAAGCCCTCCCCGGCCCAGGAGGAAATCACTCACCCGCCCCCAGTGCTACGGAGCCGCTGACACCCCCGAACAGGAATGAGGGGTACGTGCCGGGGGGGCTTCGGCGCTTGCGGACTGAGTGGGGCGATAAACGGCCCAGGAGAGTACCGCCCCCCGACTTGGGGGTTACCCGCCTGACCAGGATCCCTGCCACGGGCCCCGGCACCCTGCCACGACGGTCCTGTGAGGCCAGGGCCTGACGACAGCCCACTCCGGGATGGAGACGCTGTGACGAGGGGTCTGAAGCCCCTTTTTGTTGTTTAGCCACTGGTAGCTTTTAAGCCTCACTCCCCACTCCTCCCCTTGTACCATCCCAGTGATTCATCTGCCATGGGTTCTGTTGTGTCCCCGCCTCCCCCCACCTCCCACGGACTTCCTGCCTCTGCAACCATGAGCAGATATATTTCTGGTTTTTGGGCCACCAAATGGACAACTCTGGGAGACGTGGCTGTACTTGTCAGGTCATCTCAAGTGGAATGACACAGCTGCCCACAATGGTGACCTCAGGAATGCACCTTCCCGTGACTTTTCTTCCTTCCCCAGCCCATGCTACCCCCTCACTCCTGCTCCTGGGATCACTCCCCAGAGAAAACCCCTGTCTTGGGCTCTGCTTCTGGGGGTGACCGAGGTACCTCCAAACCTGCTTCTCCTTCAGCCTCCGTCCAGATGAAGAACCACCATCCACTCAGAGGTCCAAACTGGAAACCCGGGCATAATCGTGACACCTCCCTCACCGTCCCACCAAACCACTGCCCAAGTCTTGACAAGTCTCCCACCTAAGTCGACCTCCAACCTCTCTGTTCTCCCTCCTTCACAGACATGTCCCTGGCTGTGGCCACCACCACTCCCTGCCTGGGTGGCCGCAGGGAGGGCTGGGATGTGAGCTGATTCTTTACCTGCTGTCACCAACCCTTGTGCGCCCCTGTCTAGCCTCTGCCCTGAGCCCGGGGCAAACCTAAATGCAGAGAAGCTTAGAGGACTCTCCCAGCTGTCACTCATTTTGGCCCCTACCACCACCCTCTGGGCTCAGACAGCTGTGCTCAGCTTGGCTACACAGCAGAGAAGCGTTAGCTCGAGGCAGGCCTGGCTTCCAGAGGCTGCAATTACTGAGGCCCGGGATACTGACCACCCCCTGGGTTCTAGAATAGAACACACTTGGCAGGAAGCAGAGAAAAGGTGAAGACATCAGAAGCACCACTGGGCCTTGGATGATACCCTGCGGGGACTCCGACGGTGGGCACCGCCCATCTACGTGCCAGCTTCCACTTCCCTACAGCCCCCTGCCCCAATTCATCTCACTGTACAACTGGAGGCTCTGGAAATGGGCTGGCCTAAGATCATGGTGGGTAACTGGTGGACCTGGGACCTCTGTCCCAGGCTGCTACCCTGGGGGCTGGAGCTCCTCCCCAGGCCCAGCTGTGACCCTGCCAGAAGCGAAGGCACGAATGCAAGAGCTTTTTTCAAAATCATCTTTAATGTATCTTTAATAATTTTTTTGCCTCATTTACCAGATAAATCATCTAAATAAATAGATGCTATACAGTCTCTTACCAAGATCAGTACAAAAATAAACCGCGCTCTGCACCCGCTCTAGCCCTCCCAGCACACACACACTCGGAAAAGGCATGTGCTTGGAATCAGCCCGCACCCCCAACCCTCCCAAATACATTCATGTTGTCTGAACAAAGCTCGACGCTCATTCCGTGCAAAGGCGGCGTTCTTGTGCTGAGACGTGGAGGCCAGGCCGGCCACTTCCGAAGAGAAGCTAAGCCACCCCCACGGGCACAGCGCCTCCCCCTGCGGGTGGGGAGTCAGCAATGGGACCATCCCCCTGGAGGGATGACAGGGCTCGGCTGGGCATGGCAAGTGGCCGTGCCAGGGGTGGGGGAATCCTCTCCTGGCCCCATCCCACAGCAAGAGGAAAGTACCACCCATGCTCTCTACATTCAAAATGGGTGGGGGCTGGGGAGGGAAGGACAGGCTGTCCAACTCGTTCTAAGCGCCCCCACCCGGGCGAGTACTGGCCTTCTGGGGAGGGGTGGGGTGGGGTGGGAGCTCAGTGTCCCAGGCCCCGCTGGGACGCTCAGGGCTGGACAAAGGTCTGCAAGACCACATCCAGCCCCTCATAGAGGTCTCCGTCCTGGGGAGCCGTGGGGAGCCCCGGCTCACAGGGTTCTGCCCTCTCTGAGCTGCGGGATGCCCTGTGCGTCACAAAGAGCTGAGGAAGAGGCAAGATCTGTCCTGCGGCAGCAGACAGAAAGTCAGCTGTCTCGCTCCACAAATGGCCCCCAGCCCCCCCCTCCCCAAATTGCACAAACAGCTCTTTGAAAGAGCCCATGAGGCAGGACGAGGTCCCACGTCCCCAGAGGGATGGGCTGTAGGCCTTCTATTGCATGCTGCCAGCCCAGCCCCAAAGCCATAGCCAACAGCATTCGATCAGAGAGGACACCCCCCCCCCGGCCCCTGCCACTGGGCCACCTCCACTCCACCACCCTCACGTCTGTTGGGAGCCCGTGTCCTGGGAGAGACCCCCAACTCCAAGTTGCCCTTCCGGAACCCAGGGTCTCACAGCTGGACGGGGCAGGGGCAGGGGTAACTGTGCTGCCCCTCCTTCCCTGGCCCGCCCCCGTATACTCCTCTAGAGTCAACTTCCTGGGCTGGGAGGAACCACCAGAGGGGACCACCCCGCAATGGAAGCACTGAATTGACCCTGGACAACGAAGGATTAAGGAGGAAGGGGAGATAGAGAGACTCAGGGATTTAGGAATCTTGCCAGCAGGGCACCCCAAACAAAAATGGGGCCTAGGCTGTCTTTGGTTTGGGAACTTGGGAAGAAGGGGTCTGGGGGAAGAATCGCCCTATCCTCGTCTCAGCAGGATTCTGCTGACTTCCTCAGGACAAAGCAGAGTGGGGAGAGGGCCCCGGGAGAGGGCAGGCCCCACCTCCTAGTGCCCCAACTCAGGATAGGGGAAGTGGAGGGAGCCGGCCTTCTACTTTTGCTTCCCTGGTGCCCAGCCCCACCTGGATTTTTCTCCCTTACTGGGCTGGAGAAGGGGCAGGGGAATAGCCCCTCCTCCTGACCTGGGTGCAGACAAGAGCCCCTCCTCCGGCAGCCACAGCCCCTTGCTGGCTGGGCTTATACACAGCCTGACCCACCATCCAGGGCAGCCCCACTGCAGGAAGACATGGCAGAGGTCCCCTCCCCTGCAGGAACACTAGGTCACTCCAGGCTGTGGCATTTAGGTTGAATGGGGAGGGGACGTGGAAGGGAAGGAGGAAGGGTTTCAGGAGTTGGAGGCTGCCCTGAGAAGGTGGTGGGACGCTCCCTCCCTCTCTGGGAGGACAGCAAAAGAGAAGAGTGGGTCGGGTTGAAAAGTCACCTGAGTCAGAGAAAACGAGAGCCCCTCAGGGGAGGAAGGACGGGGCCCAAGTGCCTCAGAGCCTGTGCTGACCCTCGGCACCCCTGCAGCTGGCCGGGGGAAGTCCCAGCCCCGCACCGCATGCCCGGAGCCTCGGAGGCCACCTGGCCCTGTGCGGACAGCTGCGAGCAGACTGCGTCAGGAGAGACCCTGTCCCGTGACGTGCTGAGCAAGGCTAGTAAGTGTGGGCTGCCCGTGACAAGTTCTGAGGCGCTTGGAGTCACCCCACAATTCACCAGGTCGGGGTTTCTAAACAGGAGGTTTGCAAGAACCACTGTGCGCGACTGTAGACACAATGCCTGCGGTCCCGGCGTCCCGGGGCTGTGTGTGCACGCCCGTGTGGCTGGGTGTGCACATGAGTGTTTCTCACAGGCCAGGTGATGTGGGGGGGCTCCCAGGGAGAAGGGGCCCAGCTGGCAGCCACCCCAGGGAAGGGCATGGGATGCACCCCACAACCTCAAAGGCCTCCTCCTGCCCCTCGTCTTGACTGGGTCATAGTTGGTCAAAGCCAGCCTCCATGTCCCACCACAAAGCTGGAGTGGAAAGTTAAAAACAAGGACTCCCCCCACCCCCAAAAAGGAAAAGGGAAGCCACCCAGAAAGGCAGGAGTGGGGGGCTCAAGGGAGAGGGTTTGGGCCCTCCCATTCTCCTTTGGTTCCTGGGACCAGCTGCTGCGTCTCTAGAGAACGGTGAGGGATGCATCCAAGAACAGGTGGCCCGGTCTCCAGCCTGGCCCGGAGAGGACCCCCTGACTGGCAGGGCAATGCCAGGCCGCCTCAGCCAGCCCCCAGAGCAGACCACTGAGCCTTTCTGTAAATGTCAGGCGCAGAGAAAGGGGGCGAGGTGGCGGAAAGTGGCGGGAAAGTGTCGGGATCTTGCCCCCTGCTCCTGTTCCATATTTTTTAAATAAAATAATTACCCTGTCCCCAACCCCTCCCCATCTCTGGAAGTCCCCACCCCAAGCCCAAAAGCAAACAGTTTAGGAAGAGTAAAAATGATGACTCAGAACTTCCCGCCGCGGTCCCGGAAGAAACCCTCAGCCGCCTGGGCCTCGCGGAAGGTGACCGTGACGGAGTTGGCGGTGATATCGGTCACTGTCACTTCACTTGGGGGGAGCACAGGAGTCCAAGGAGGGGGGCCCTCGGCCAGGTCTCCATCTGTGGCAGGCACGGGAGAAAGATGGAGAAATGAGGACGGCCCTGACCACAGCACCGGGAAGGCGGGAGCAGGAAGTGGGGGCGGCATGCAGACCCCTGCCCGCCCAGCTCTGGGCCTGGCTCAAGGCTGGACACCCAGGAGGAGGTCACCGCATTTGTCCTCCCTGCCTGGACCACCCCGCCGCAGCAGGGTCACAGGAAGGGCTGGGGCGGTGCCAGAGCCCCACGGGCTAAGTGGCCTCAGGAGCGCCCTGGGCCCGCTCTGGGCATGGCAGCAGCTGGACCTGCCGACTCCAGGGACCTCCCCAGCTCTCAGGGGCTCCGGGCCGGGGCCGAGGGGCCACCTTACCCTCCTCCTCGGGGGGCTGCTCAGCAGGCTCCCACTCGCTGGCCGCCTGCAGGACGTCCGGGGCCGCCGGCTCCTGCAGGAAGAGCTCCCGTGGATGGCTGTGACTGTCCAGGTCAGGCCCGCGGGGCGGGAACTTCTTGCGCGAGAGCCGCAGGTGCTTGTGGGCCTTGCGCGGCTTGCGGAGCGGGAAGGGCAGGGCGGGCACCAAGGGGCCCTTGTCCACCAGCTCGGGCGCCCCTGCCTTGACCACCCCCTCAGGGCTCCCGCTGCCGAGCGGGCACGTCAGGGAGAAGCAGAGCTTCTCCTTGCCCTTGGCCTTGTGGGAGCTCCGCAGGTCCATGCTGTACAGCCGCTGCGGGGGCAAGCCAGGGCACGGCGGGTCAGCCCTGCCCTCCCCGCCGCTGCCGCGCCTTTGCTCATGCTGTTCCTCCCGCCTGGAGTGCCCTTCCCCATGTTCCGTGGCCCGGAGCCAGCCATTACCCCAGCCCCACCAACCCGGCCCAGAAAGCCACCCCTGACCAGCCCCAGCCTCAGGTCTGGCCTGGGGCCACCACATCTCCCTGAGAGGTAGCAGGGGGCTCAGGGACGGAAGCCGCACAGAAGGAGAGCATCCCAGAGGACAAACTGAAAACTGGCCAAGAAAAAGCAAATCTGGATTTATGAAGCAGATAAACTACGGAGTCATTCGTCATGGGGAAGGTATGTTTGCCTACTAAAGGACCCCCAGGGCTGAAACAGCCAGCTTGCCAAGGAGATGGTGTGACGTGGATGCCCTGAGATTCTTGGGCAAGTACCCAAGGGGGGCACATGGCACTGGGTGCCCCGTGTCACGCAGCCATGGGGACAGGGCTCTGCCCGCAGCCCACAGGCTACTCCTTGGCCCCAAGCCGCGGCACAGCCCTCTGGCGATGCCACCTCGCACTCTTGTTAAGATGGGGCTGGAGGACACGTGTTCTACCACCGGAGGGCTGCAGTTCTGTACTCCAGGATTTGTCTCACTGACTCGGGCCAAGAAGTGCACAAATCCAAGGAAGATCTTTGGTGCTAAGGCCCGGGTCCCTCCGGGACAATACCTTCTGCAGCCACCCGTCACCAGAGGCCAAGAGCCCCCAGGAAGAGAGTGAGGCCGTGAGATGGGGCCTGTAGGTCAAACGCTCCCCAGCTGGGAGCAGAGATCACACCCACAGGCTCCAGTCTCCCGTCCTGCCCGCTTAGGCCTGGCACTCGGCCCGGGTACGGGGTGTTACAGGCCAGGAGGAGGGCTGCAGGGCAGGGGTCAGGACAGTGCTGCAAGGCTGGGAGGGCTTGTCCCATCGCAGCGTTACCTAAACCTGCTTCTTCAACCTGGCTCAGCAGCCATCTCGAGCCCAGTAAACTCCTCCAACCCTGCAAGACGATGTTCTCTGCCCTTCTCCACCTCACCAAGAGAGGACTGCAGCTCCGAACAGGCATCCCAGAGCCCCCGGGGTCAGACCAGGCTGTGACACCCTGGGGAAACTCCTGGCCCCCCAGAGCCTCAGTTTCTGCATCAGTGCGACGATGAAGAAACCGGAGTGGCCGGCCCCCGACAGGGCCCCAGCAAGGCCTGCCTCAAGGAAGTCACACCCACATCCCCTCGGGCCCCGGGTGCTGTGCCGTGGGGCTCACGAGGCTGGCCCGTTAAAGACTCTGTGCTTCTCCCTTGCTCTTGCTCTTGCTCTTGGATCGTCCGCTCTGGGGGAAGCCAGTGGCCACACCGTGAGGCCACCGGGGAGCCCTTGGAGAGGTCCACGTGGAAAGTACCAAGCCTCCTGTCAACAACCAGAGCTGACTTGTGGGCAAGGGACTAGCCGCCTTGGTAGCAGAGCGCTCCGCTCCGGCCAAACCTCCAAACGGTGCGCGCTGGTTGACATCACGACCGTAACCCGAACTGGAATCACTAAAGCAGCAGCTACAGGACTCCTGAACTCCGGACCACCCACACTGTGTGACACGCTGAGTGTTTACCGCTCTAAGTTGCTAAGTTCGGGGAAGACGCCGGAAGCAGAGATGCTACCTTTCATCTTGGGACCCAATTCACACCAAACCCCACGGAAAATGCCCACTGCGTGAAGGGAAACCCATCTTTTCTGCCCAAAGCCTCAGGGGATCCACACTCCAGAGTGGGCAGGAGACTGGCCGCGGCTCACACTGTGTGTAGACCAAGAAGCCTTATCATTCGGCCTCGAACCCCTGGGGAACCTCATTCAACTAGGGAGAGCAGGTAGCTCGTCATCTCAATTCTACAGATGACAAAGTTCAAGCTGAGAGGGGTGGAGACTTGCCTCAAATCACATCACTTCAAACTCCATCCACTTACCAAGCAAAGCAGTGAAGTCAGCAAAGTGGCCCCAAGACCTGGGTAACTTGGGGTGCCCTGGAGTCTAGATGCCCACCTGTGGCAGAGGACTGGAAAAGGGGACCCTGTAGGTTTCCCCTTCCTCAAAAATTCCCCATTTCTAGGGCATCCCATGACAACGGTTCCAGAATTCTGAGTCTCCCTTTCTCAGGTTCTAAAATCCCAGGCTCCCACGTTTCCTCAATTCTAAAGTTTATGTTTCTGAGGTCCCCAAATATTACAATTTTGTGTTTTGGGGATTTTGAGCCTCATAAAGGCTTATTTACAAGATTCTAAGCTTTCAAAATTTTAGGCTCCCATCAGCCATATATCCACCCTCCCCCGAACCCCACAGCACCTCCCATCCAGGCTGTCTTCCTTCCCTCCCTCCCCCCACAGAGACTTACCCACTGAGCACCCCCACCCCACAGTGCCCTGAGCAGAGCAAGGAGGGCAAGTGGTCCAGCTCAACTAGCTGGTGCAAGTGCACGGGGCGGGGGAGACTGGCGGCGAGGGAGGGCAGGGGGACCTGTGGGTGGGCACCAAGGCTGACGGGGTTACCTGCAGCAGAAGCCGCTTGGGTTTCGGACCTCTCTTCCTATACCCCGACGCTCGGTCTCGCTCCTCCCTGGGGTGCAAAGCAGATGGCAGAAGAAAAGCAAACACGGGTGACATTTAAGGGAAAGTGAAGCGTCCGCTCCGCCTCGCGCTCTGCAGTCTACAGGGAAAGGGGGACCCGCCATACATCACTCCCTAATCCTAGGGCAGGCACTCCTCCCCACTGCTCTCTTTACACCGTAACGGTGGGGTCCCATGTTCAAATCCCAGGGCCTTGGTCTCCCCATCTGGCAAAAGGGCGGGGGCACAGCCACTGGTCCCAATTGCAAAGGGGGTACTTGGGTGACGTCTCCGAAAGTACGTGGGTGTTTACTGGGCTCCAGAGTCACGCCAGAGCTCAGCTCTCCATACCACTGGGTACAGCCCCCAAAACAATACAGATCGGTTCCCGCCCTCTGGAGAGGGGTACAGAAACCTGTCAATCAAATTTGCCTCCAGTATCCCGGGTGGAGCTGCTGGGACTTGGACTGGTCCTCGTGCAATGAAGCTCTGCCCAAGTCTTTCCCCCTTTGGGATGTGCGTGACACACGTGGAGAGGACAGGCTCTCGCCTGTATCATCTGGCTCAGGAAAAGGAGAGAAACTCGCCTGTACTGAGTCCCTAGTGGATGCCAGGCTCTCTGTCGGGGGCCCTGCCCACATCCCAAATGCACAGGCACAACCCGAGGATGCGTACAAAGCCACACACGACACATGAGACAACACAACAGAGACTCCAACGACAGCAGTGCCGGAGGTGGTGAAAGCTTCAGAGCCATTTTCATTCTGCCAATTTCACTTCATTCCACCCCATTTTCTGTGGCCCCCACTGCAGAGGCCGTGTGGGCAGCTGAGAGAATGTGGAGGCCGGGAGCGTACCCCTACTCCCCGCCCCCGGCTGTGTGACCCCAGGCGGTCTCTCCATCTGAGCTCGGGGAGTCCAGCCCGTCCGGGGCAGCTGTTTCCACCCCTCACCCTCTCCCTCAGCCCTCCTCCCTCCTGCGGAGCTGTGCCTTGTGCACTGGGCCCTCCCGCAGTCCCCGTGGAGTCAGCCCGCCTTGGGGCCCAGGAGCCAGCCATCTGATCACACTGTGACACCAGCCACTCAGCTTGCCAGGACCGACCTGCCGGCCTTTGAGGGTGAGACTCTTCTCTGAGAAGCCGCTGCTGGGCTCCCCAGAACCCCTGTTCCAGGCCCAGCTGCACCCTGACCCACGGGAGACCTTGGCCAGTCACCTCCCCTCTGGACCTCAGTGTCCTCGTCTGGAGCAAGAGGGTCCCTTCTCCCTTGGTCACCAGGGCTCTCGGGAGAAGCAAGAGAGGTCCCTGGGATCTATCAAAATGGGGGGCGGACAAGTGAAATAACAAAGTGAGGTAGGAGAGAGAAGGACGAGAAAGAGAGGAAGAGGAGGAAGATGGGGGAGAGGGAAGGGCTGGAGGGGAAAGGAATAGTGATGGTGGCGTGTCTACAACTTCTCCACGGGTGGTGTTTACTATCATCACACACGGGACACTCTGCACAAGGCATCGCTCTACCTCCCCCTCATGGCCGCCCTGTGAGGGAGCCGCAGTTACTCTCCTCACTTTAGAGTCAGGGAAACTGAGGCACAGAGAGGTTAAGTCACTTGCCCAATGCCAAAATTCTGACAGCGTCGGCCGCTGAGCTCCAGGCTCCAGGCCTAGTGAGGGTCAGGCCCAGGGTCCAGCCAGGGGCAGCAGGGCAGGCCCGGAGTCCAGGCCGCATGACCCTGGTTTCTAACCTGCAGCGTGCGTGCGTGCGTGCGTGACGGGGAAGGGGTCCGTTCTATCCAGACTCACCACCCGGGGCCTGGTTTCTGTCAGCCTTGGATCCTGCCCATCAATGTCCAGGGCTGCAGGGCAGTGGCACCCTGTGAGGCGCGCCCTCTCAGCCTTTCCCTGCGGTCGGGACCCCGCAGAGGAGTCCCCTGGCCAGACTCCTTCTGAGTCTCTTTAAAACCCTGCAAGGCGCAGACTGGAGCGCCTGGGAGGTTCAGTTGGTTAAGCATCTGCCTTCGGTTCAGGTCCTGATCCCAGGGTCCTGGGATCAAGCCCGCAATCGGGCTCCCTGCTCAGTGGGGTGTCTGCTTCTCCCTCTCCCACTACCCCTGCTGGTGTTCCCTCTCTCACTGTCTCTCTCTAGCTGACAAATAAATAAACAAAAATCTTTAAAATAAAAATTTAAAAATTAAAAAATAAAATAAAATAAATAAAACCCTGCAAGGCAGGGGTTAAAGGGACGTCATCCCTCTTTTACCCCTCTTCACCAAGACTGGGAGAGAAGTAAGCCAAAAGTCACACAGTGGGTCTGTCAGTCTCCAAGCTCTTCCTTTGTTCCTTAACTGTTACATTTTTTGACTCATTCAAAGTAAGATCCAAATCCTCCACCGGGACTTATGAGGCACTCCCTGAGCTGTGCTCCCCCTTCCTTCAGCTGCCCTACTCCTGCCTCAGCCCCCACACCTCACTCAACTCACACCACTCCAGCCAGCCACACTCAGAGCCACACTTGCCTCTGTGCTGTTCCCTAAACACTGGCTCTCACCCCAGGGCCTTTGCACAGACCGTTCTCTTCACCTAGGATGTTCTTCTCTAAAATACTTGCTGGGCTCATTCCCTCAGGACTCTGGTCAAACACCCCCGCCTAACCATCCCACTGATCCCTGCACCCTTCCCCCATCCCCTCCCCCCAACCCTGTCTTTGCAGCAGTTATGACCGTCTGATATCGTATACACTTATTGTTTTTTTTGTTTTTATTGTGTGTCTCTGCGTTGGAATTCGAGCCCCATGAAAATAGGGATGTTCGTTGGTTTTGATCCTTTGCTGTGTCCCCAGCACCAGGGACAGTGTCTGGCATACGGCAGAACCTCACTAAAGACTTGTTGAACGAGCCAAAGAATGATCCTTAGTTACCGTCAGGGAGATGATTCGCACACCTGTGCCCACACTCACTGATCTACAGAGTGCTTTCAAACACCTTGCTCCCCATGAGAGCCCTGCAAGGTCAGCACAACTGTCCCCACTTTACAGATCGGGAGGATGAGGCCCCGAGAGGGAGGAGACCTTGCCCACCACCACACAGCTGGCGAGCGGCAGAACCAGGACTCTAATTCAGGGCTTGTACACCGGCCTGACGCTCTCCTCCAGCAGTCCACGACATTCCACAGGATTCTCCCAAGCACCACAGTCCTTTTGGATCAAGGCCCCACCAAGCGCCCAGGAGCCAGAGAACAGCTGTGGGACGGGGACACCCTGATTTTTAAAGTGAAGAACAGGGGTGACTTTTCCTTGGAATGGGCAGCGAGACACTTCCTGCAGAGAAGCAATGGGAAGGGGGGCAAGGAGGGGCAGAGGAAGGGCACCGGACTGGGATTAGGAGGCCCGGGTGAAGCCCTGGGTAGGCGGCTTCCCAGCTGTGAGGTGCCCCCCAACAAGCTCCTTAGCTCCCACAGCCTCAGTTTCCTCATCTGTCAGATGAGACTCTCATCCCCGTCTCAGGAGGTTCCTGTAAAGGGCCAAATGGAAACGATTTTGTGCAAAGATCCTGCCTTGTAAGGGTGGGCAGTTGGGAAGAGGCACAAGGATTTGGGCTGCCCGCTGGCAGGGAGGTCAGTAAAGCTGGGGCTCCTGCAGCAGGTGGGGGTGGCTAGACTCAAAAGACTCCCCAACCAGGAGCAACAACACTTTGTCAAAAGCTTCTCCCTGAGATGCATCATCACTGCCCTTTGGTGGAGTCGCCAATCACTGACCTACCTTCGGAATCAGAGCAGAGCACGAGCAGATAAGGGACACTGAGGCCCAGAGGAGCCTTGCCCAGGGCCCCTAAGCTGGGAGGTGGCCAAGTGGGACAGACTAGAACTTAAACATCCTTGCTCCAAAGCCACAGTCCCTCCCCTTTCTCAAGCTTCCACTGGACTTTCCTTCTCTTGGTGAGAGAGTCTCTATGGAGAATCTCTCTTGGATCTGTCACCAAGGTCATGACTGCCCATTAAGGACATTTCTGCCCCTCATACAGCGCCAGCTCTGTAAAGCATTTTTATACCCATCACAGCAATTGAAAGTCCTACCTTGGGGGAATTGGAGCCGGTGTTATGAGGGATGGCCCACTTTACAGCACAGAGTGAGGCATGGGGAGGTTAGAGAAGTGGCCAACATCACTCAGCAACAGGAAAGGGAGCCAGGGCCCTCAGCTGCTCTGGGACCTGATGTCCACCCCCACTTCTCCCAGCAGCAGACTAGACCAAGCTGTCCTGCCAAACCCCCGCCCCACCCCATGCCCGTGCCCCTCGTTCAGAGCCAACCCAGCAGTAGGCTCCATGTGAAACCTCAAAGCCTGTCTCATGCCCAGCCCCAGTGGCAGGCTGAGGCCCCCTTACTTCTCCTCATAGGCCATGACCAGGCGGGGGTCCAGGATGTGCTCTTCCGGCTCCCACGTGCTGTATCTGGGGAGAGAAGCAAGAGATCAGAAGCTGCCCTGCTCCCCACCAGCATTCCCTGCAGGCTCTCGCCCCCTGCCTGGGCCCCCATAATTGCCACCTACTCCCAGAACCTGTACCTGGCTGCCCAGGCTAGGTCAGGGGGCTCTGACGACACCAGAACTCCCCTCATTCTGAGTACCATTCACACCACCCTACAAAGAACTGTGTCCAATTCCCAATTAGACCTCATGCTCCGAAGTACAGGGCACTGCTCCTGGGGCTCCCTTTTGGTGAGAAGCCTGAGCATGTGGTCAAGGACAGAGGCACTGGCACCAGACCACCTGGTTTCAGATCCCAGCTCTTGAAGGATTTACTCAACGTCCCTGCGCCTCCACTTTCCCATCTGTAAAGAACTCTTGTGCTGCTGAAGGTGTTCATCTAACTGCCTAGCACAGTGCCTGGTGCACAGGAAGTGCTCCGTGCTTCCGGATGCTGTCCCTGCCCACCCTTCCAGCCCTGGTCCCAGTGCAGCCTCCTCTGACTGGGCTGACCTGCTCCCTCTCTCCTTGGCTCACAGCTGTACCTTCCCAGCCCGGCCTGAAGTTTCCTTGCCAGGCCTGGCATGCAGCAGGAACCAGGTAGATGGCTAGCGACTGAATGGTGCCGCACGCCCACGGCAGGTCCCCTTGGTATTTCGAAGGGGGACCTTCCACCACCCCAGACCACAGAGCGCCCCCTGTTGGGCCAGACTTGGGAGGGACAGCTCAGCACTTCACAGCTCAAGCCATCTTCCTTCCACCTGCGCTATTTACTTAACATCTGCCTCTAAAGCAGCTCACTTGTTTTGTTTAATAATTTTATTTTAAAAACAAACTTTAGGGGCGCCTGGGTGGCTCAGTGGGTTAAAGCCTCTGCCTTCGGCTCAGGTCATGATCCTGGGTCCTGGGATGGAGCCCCGCATCGGGCTCTCTGCTCAGCAGGGAGCCTGCTTCCTCCTTCCTCTCTCTCTGCCTGCCTCTCTGCCTACTTGTGATCTCTGTCTGTCAAATAAATAAATAAAATCTTTAAAAAAAAATAAAAACAAACTTTAGGGGCACCTGCCTGGCTCAGTCAGAGGAGCATGTAACTCTTGGTCTTGGGCCATGTGTTTGAGCCCCATGTTGGGTGTAGAGATTACTAAAAAAAATAAATAAATAAACTTACAAAAAAAAAACAAAAACCTTATGATTTCCATAAATGGAAAAACTAGAGTCACTCACCATAAACAGATGCTGATAAATAGAAAATGAAAAGTTTTAAAACACGTACCTGAATGTGTCTGTATATACACATATTCGAATATACAACATACGTACAAACATATAAACACGGGTACGTTCATGTGCATACATGTATATGAACAAACAACACCAAAGCAACGGACTATGATTCTGGCCCAGGCTGCACCCAGCTCTGCTGGGCAACAGGGGAGGTGAACAGGTATCAGGGAGGTGTTAGGAGGCAGGAAGAGGCTGGGTAGAGACTCTGCTCCTGCTGTCTTCTAACCTGCTGAGCTAAAACCTTCATCTTAAACTGAGAGCTACCAGTAGTCCAATCCGGATTCGAAGAACAAGCTACCCGAGGACAGAATCCTTTTCTCCTTCCTTCCACCGGCACTTCCTCACACGGACTTTGTGTTGGCCCCGTGTCAGGCTCTCTGTGCACTCAGCAACAAAGGTCTGAGCCCTGAGGACCTCACAGTCCCTACCCAAGCGCCCCATGCCCAGCCTCAGGCACAGTCACGCCTCCCTTGTACAGGCTGTGCTCTCCACCCGAGGGCCAGTCCCTCCATGATCTCCTCCTCATCCTTCAAGAGCTTCCCCTGACAGCCTCCTCAAGCTCCCTGCAGAATTCACCCTCCCCTCTGCTGCTCTCCACAGCCTAGTGCACTTGACACCTGCCAAAATTTCTGATGAATCCAGCTGGCATCCTGGCGGGCAGACTGCAAGCCCTCTCCAGGGTGCCCAGCCTCACACCCTGGGTGCTCTGGGAATGATACAGAAGCCACTGCAGAGTTCTGTTCACCCTAAAGAAAGGCTAAGCGTGAAACTGGGGTTTTTCTGATACTTTGCATAAAGCCCAAAGTATAAGCAACCAGAGACTGGCAGAGACTCCAGAACTTCCTCTTGCAAAACAAAGGTTAGATTTCTTCAGCAGTAACTAGTTACAAGGAAGGAGGAATTTTGTGTTCCTCCTATGTCCTCTGCCTCGCCCTCTCTCCTCTAGCTGTTGATGTCTCTACAGTGTTCCAGTCTTCTCTGCCCTGCCCACTTCCCCACTGCCCTGCCCATTTTTTTGTTGATGTGGGTGCTGTGTGGTTCCCGGCAAGTCCCTAACCTTCGCTGGACCTCAATTTCCTCATCTTAAGAATCACCACCACCACCATCATGGTAAGAGCACCACTCACTACCGGGGACTCATCTATTCCTCATAAAACCCCCATAGGGTAGGTTACCCTATTTAAAGATGAAGAAACAGGCACAGAGGTAAGCATCTTGCCAAGGTCACTGAGACAGTAAGTGGCCCGTCTGTGGTTGGAACTGTTGAATCTTGGCCTTTGGGTCTCTCACTTGTCACTGCATCTGGCTCCCCACCGGTCTGTGATGTCCTTGGGAGACGGAGAGTGCCTGACTACGTCCTGTGTCTGACCGGGACCTTGCACACAGTGGGTGCACAGAAAGGCTCAGCGGATTCAGGGCGAATCGTTACAGGGCCGGGAGGCGTGTTGACAGGCTCAGACTATGTAAGCAGCAGGAGGCCTGGTCCTGCTCCATACTGTGGTAGAGGAATGGTTGGAAGTCTGCACTACGGTCTCAATTCTCTGGACATCTCCGCCCCCTAAAGTGGAGGCCATTAACACCGCTCCACGATGCGGGGAGCCAGGGGCCACAGCCACCGCAAACGCGCTTTGGGCGCAGGCAGGACCAGAGCGCGCAGCGGGCGGGCGGCAGGGCGGGTGGAGCGAGCTGAGGGACTGCACTGGCAGGGCGGGAACCGAGCGCTCCGTGGGGGGCGGAGAGCCCTACTTTGCCCCGCCCCGCCCCTGCAGGGCAGCCGCCGTGCGCGCGCACGCACGGAGGAGGGCGCGCCCCGAATTACCAGGCCAGCCAATGGGGAGCGGGGGCGGGGACGGAGCGCGCCAGCCCCGAGGTAAACACGGCCACGTGACCGACCGCCCCGCCCCCGAGACCGGGTAAACAGGCTCCCGGCCGCCCCGCCTGAGCCGCGCTGCGCAGGCTCCCGCGGTGCAGGGGGCGGGGTCCCCCAAAGCCAGGCCCGCCCCAGTCCCCCAGGCCGATTTAAAGCTCCCCAAAATGAGAAGCAGCGCGACGCGCTCAGGTCCGAGATTGAGGCGCGCGGCGGTGCGCAGGTTAGTCCGTTTACTCATCCGTGAAGTGGGACTACCAAAGGTCCCTGTATTGGGGGCTTCAGTGACCATTAGATGTGCTCAGCCACGTGAAGCACTTAGCTCAGTGTGATACATAATAAAAGCAAATACGCGTTAATTAAATCAGTAACAATGGAGTGCGAAAACCTGCCAGGCCAGAGCCCTGGACTCTGCTGCTGCTGCCCAAACCCAGCGTTGGAAGAGGAAGGCGCGCCTCCTCCGTCCCTGGCACTGGGTTATGAAACTTCTGTCTCAGGCAGCCTTCCACAGAGTGCTGTGAGGCTATGGCCTTACTTTACAGGTGGAGAAATGGAGGTGCAGAGGTAGAGGGCTTTGTAAAGCTACAGAACTAGGGTTCAAAGGCAGCCGGGTCTGGCTCAAAAGCCTAAGCACTTCCTTCTGAATGGTCAAGAGAGGAACAGGCAAAAGATCCTCAGTTGCAGAGCTGATGGTGTATCACAGGCTCTAGACCCCAAGCCCTGGGATCAAGCAAACCATAGTGCAAATCATCCCAGTTGTATTTGACCGTAGGCACAGACTCCTCTGCTAGAGATTTCTGTGGGCCCATCTGTAAAATGGGTTGTCATGAGGCAATTAAAAATGGGCCAATGTCTGACTCATACAAGGTGCTTATGGATTAGCAGCCTGCTATGCCCACTGACAATATCATTACCAAATCTCCACAAAGGCAGTCCTCCCTAAAAGATGGGGTCGTATTCACAAGTGGGGAAAGAAGCAAGGAATGCATTTCCAAAGCGGGAACAGCAGTCCTGGGCAGGCAGTGTATCTGAGGGTCTGTATGGGTCAGAGAGCCTGGAACTAACGATTTGACATCCTCTGCCCTGTGCCCCCAGCCCCTCCCTGGGCAATTTGCTGTACCTTCCAGAACAAACAAGATAGCTCCTCTACCCCATCTGCTGGGGAGGAAGGTCAGTCATTTGTCTGCAGCTGGGGACAGAAAATGGGCAAAGCATGTAATGGTCTAACATGGGCCCGGCACAGAATGAGTATATATCTAAATTATGCTTTCTGTTATTAATATAAGCCTCCTTGATCAGGTGAGGAAGGTGTTGCTGAGCAGGAGAATCTGACTCTCCTCCCCACCACGGCTGGCACTACCCTAGCCAAGGCTCCCAGGCCTGCAGGAAACAGCCTGCCCAACTACCCACTCCCCCACTTTCGCAGCCTCTTCTCCAAGCAAGGGCCCCTGGGGGGGGGGGAGACTAAAGCCCAAGTGGATTACAAAGGAGCCCGGGGTTCTTCTGCATCTTCCCCTAACTGAACCTGTTTTCCTCCCCAGTGAAGTAGGGTGATGCAGTGGTTGGCAGAAGTAGGTACCATACCGCATGGGGTGGAAGTTATAGTCTTATCATGGTTTCCCCTCTTTGGGCCTCAGTTTCCCCATCTGGGACTGACCTAAGCCATCTCTAAGCCTCCTCTGAGCTCCTATGAGGAATGGAATCTCCCAGATCCCTTTCCTGGCTGCAGGGAGACCTAGAGGCTGAGCTGTCTAACTTCACATTAACAACAAACATTTCCTAAGTGCCTGGCCATCTGACAATGCACTGGGTACCTGTCTCCATCACCCAGTCCTCACAACAGCACTGTGATAAAGGCTTCATTATTCCGACTTGTAAATCAGGAAGCAGAGGCCCCACCATGTTGGGGACCTGGACAGCTGTGAGCCAGCCAGGAACCCAGGACTAAAGTGCAAGGGAGCCAGCAGTACCCGAGGTCATCTGGTTCTAGCTCCCAGAATTCCTCCAGGGAGTCATAAGAGGCTGTCACTAGGGCCCACCTGGTGGTCTCAGCATGTGACGAAACAAGCAGCATCAGAGCCAGGGGCTCAGGTCAGCAGAAACAAGAGGGAGTGCTCTCGGAGTGCTAGGCACTTCTCTCCTGGCTAAAGCTCTGATAGGCAGATCTATCCATGTCGGATTGAAAAAGCGGAAGAAGGAACTTTTCCTTGATAATACCTCTGTTTAGAGAAGAAAATCTTTTAAAAGCTGGAGTCTTTTGAGGAGGAAAAATCACCAGCAGTGCCTGAAAGGCCAACAGGCTGGTCATTACGCTCCAATGTATTGCCTTCCAGTGCAGAAGCTAAGGGAGAGAGCACACCCAGGGGGTCGGTGCTCCTGCCGCCCACCCTAGGCATCTTCCTTTCCTAGCCCTGCCTCAACTCCTACTGCTCCTTCACCCAGCCTAGAATGCCACTTCTCACGTGCCCCAAGGAGGAGGGGATCCTCCCCCAGGTCCAGGGTGTTGGCAGGGGGAGGCAGCAGGAGTAGACCAGTGCATTCTCAGGTTGGCCAGTCTCCAAGCCCCACCTCAGGATGCCTGCAGGTCGCCCTAAACACCTGCACCCAGGACTTGCACCCCACAAGGGGAAGGAGGGTGAGAGAGGAGAGCTGGGCCCGCCCTCTAGAGTCTATTTTGCAGATCGGGAAGCTGAGGGAACACAGACTGTATTTCCCTCTGCTGCGTCTCCCTACCAGGCCCCCAAGATGCTCCCAGAACCCAGGACCAGGTCAGCCCTCAACACAAGCAGGGCAGAAAGCCCCTGGCACACACAGCACACTCTGGGCAACGGGGGTTTCCAGGAGCCAGTCCCTAGCACGGAGGGCAAGGAGGCAGGACACCCACAAACCAATGAAGAGGCCCCACGACTGGTTCATTCCCTCCCACTGCCACCCCCTTGTTGGGAGGTGATTGGTTAGTAAGAAGGTTCCTGATTGGACCTCAGCAGGAGAGGTGGAGCCACTGGGAGAGGTCCTAGACCCAGCAATCTACCCCCCAACTCTGAGATGGAAGAGGCATAGAGGAGATACCCGAAACTGGGGAGGCCCAGTTCAAGTCCCACCTCTGCCTCCACTTGCTGTGTGACCTAAGGCAAGGTGCTTACCTTCTCTGAGCATGTGTTCTCATCTTTAGAGATCACCATCATACCTACTTTACAAGGCTGTATGGAAACCTATTTGGTACACTGCAGAGTGCTGTCCAAAGGCAGAGTGGGCTCAGGCTCTGGCCCTAGCTCTGTGGTACTGTGGATTCATGCCCCACCGGCTAGACTTGTCTTATCCAGCCCCCAAACCGCACTCAGCTCTGTATTTGCTCTACCTCCGCCTGGCCAGCAGCCATCTCTGAAGCCAAGATACTGGGCCTTCACCTCCTAGGTGCCAGGAAAAGCCAGAAGAGGGGAGGGGAGGCTCCAGCCAGAAGATGGAGCTCAACCCAGAGGGCAGCAGGAGAGAAGAGTGGGGCCCACTCTGACCCTCATGTCCCTCTAGCGCCTCAGCTGGCGAGGGGAAACGGGCCCAGAGAAGAGGAAGATTTAATCAAGCTTCGAATGCCACTAAAGCAGCTGGAGCTAAAAGCTAGGTGGGAGAGAGGCAAAAGGCGAATGAAGGATGAACAGTTAGGCAGAGACAGACACACAGAGGAGCCTTACTTTGGAGGCCATCCTTTCCACTTCACGAGATATTCGACTTTACCCTGGGAAGAGAGAGAAGCAGACACAGTGAGATACACAGCTGCCCCAACAACCACTCACAGGACAGTAAGACCCAATACTTTCTGCAGACTGATGTTCTCCCAAGACATACACAATCCAGGGACACTCCACCCCCCCGCCCACTCTGCACCAGATCCCCACCAACCCAGAGACACCCAAACTTTGGCTGCTGCATGACTACCCCAGACTGTCCTTCCTGTGAAAGCACAGAAGGGCATCTGGCCCCAAACATTTCTGGGGCTTCTGTGGCAGCTCAGAGCCCATGTCACACATGGGGAAACTAAGGCCACATGGGGCACATATCACCAAAGATCCAGTGCCCAGAGTCCCACAGCTAAGACCATAACTCCTCTAACTTTTTCGAACAGAAGACTCTCCAAATTCTAGAAAATTCCTCACTGGCATGTTTCCAATGGCTCTAACCCCACCCGCCGCTTCCCTGGGAGAGGCTGCCTCTGGCCCAGGGGTTGACAGGCAGATAACTTTAAGGCTTTTAACTCAAGGGGCACCTGGGTGGCTCAGTGGGTTAAAGCCTCTGCCTTCCGCTCAGGTCATGATCCTAGGGTCCTGGGATCGAGCCCCGCATCGGGCTCTCTGTCAGTGGGGAGCCTGCTTCCTCCTCTCTCTCTGCCTGCCTCTCTGCCTACTTGTGGTCTGTCAAATAAATAAATAAAATTTTAAAAAAAAAAAAGGCTTTTAACTCAAAAGACCCTGGCAGGACCCCAGAAAAGGCTGACAAAGTCTCCACCTTCAGGAATGATGGTCACCCCTCCAGTAGTTAGAAAATAGAGTCTGACCCCTCCCTTCCTCACTGACAGGGGCCTGGCTTTCCAGTCCCACCCCATGGGCACCAGAACTCTAAGACCAAGATATGTCACCTCATCAAAGAGGCCTGCCCCGACTAACCCTTCTAATGCCATCCCTCCCACCTTCCAGTTCTCTTTCTGCATAGCAAACAGCCCCCCTGGAAGGCATCTGTGTTTATTTCCTTGTTCATTGCTTGTCTCCTCTGCCAGTATGCTGGCTCCATGAGGGAAGGGATGTCTGCTTCCCTGGGGCTTAGAATAGTGCCTGGTACATAACAGAACCTCAATAAATATATTTTGAGGGAACAGCTGAAGGAATGATGTCCTTCACTTTCTGGAACTACCATGAAGAAGGAGGATAACCACTGTATCTGCTTAGGCTACTGTGCATGGAAAGCAATGGGCTTTGTGGAATAAATTAAAATCGAGGAAATCCTGGAGGAAGGGAGAAGGAGGAGGGGCAGCCCTAAGAGTTCAACCCCATCAGAGCAGAAGGAAGAAAAGCCCCTGGCACACCTCGACCTTCACCCTTGGCTCTCGATGCCAGGACTGAGTTTTCTCTCTCCAAAGATGAGCTAGCCATTAGCCAACTTGAGCTCCTGCTTTACCCCCATCTCTGCCTTGCTGTGTGACCTTGACCAGGTCACTTCCTCTGCCTGGGTCTCAGTCTCTGCCTCTGTCAAACCGTGACCTCTAAGACCCCTCCCAGCCCTGCCACTGGAGCCTCCCAAGGGGCTGCAGAGGGGAGATAAGGGGAAAGGATGGTGGTGAGCGCCGGAAGGACTTTCCCCAAGGGCTTCCATCCCCCCACCTCTCGTCTGAGGAGACCACTCTGCAAACAGGTGCACAGGAAGTGTGAACCCCCGAGGCGCGGGTACCCGAACCCAATGGAACAGATGCCTCTTTCAATTGCAGGGCATGTTTTGGAGGCGAATGGAAGGGGGAGGAGCTTAGAGGATGCCCCAGCGCTGTAGGCGGCCTCACTGAGCTTGGCCGGGCGGGGCTGAGAGTTGGGGTGGGGAAGACAGAGAGGTGTGCGCTGCAAGACGGGGAGAAAGCCGGAGGTGGGGGTAGAGGGATCCGAAAAGGTCGAAGTCCAGAGTTAGACCTCAGAGGCAGGAGGCTGAAGCTCCGCCTCCAACTTCAAAGGTCTCGGTACCGAGCCCGGAGTCCTGAGTTCGAGACCCAGCTCCGACGCTAACACACCAGCGAGCCTTTTCCTTAACTTGGGCCTCCATCTCCCCTTATTTAGAATAAGGAGAGGTTGAGGAAGGATGGCGTTCAGGATCCCTACAGTCTGACCCCAACCTCCAGCTCTGGCGGGCTCAGCTACCTCCAGGATGCCGGGGCGACAACTTTTATTCTACTCGTCCTACAAGGTGGCAGGGGAAACTGAGGCACAGACTGGGGAGATGAGCCCAGCAGCGCGGAGCCGCCTGGGCCCCCGCCCCACTTTCCCCCTCGCCGCCAGCGTGGAAGGGACGGTGCTGGGGACAACAGGGGACCCCAGAGGGGTCCTGGGAGCCGCCCCCAGGCAGCCTCACCTTCCGCACGCGCTTCTTCCGGATGCTCTCCACCGCGAACACCTGCTCGCCGATGGCTGACAGCTCCATGCGGGGCGGCGGGCGAGCGGGCCCGGGGCCGGGCCGGGCCGGGCCGGGGGCGGAGCTGCGGTGCCGCGGCTGAGGCGCGCGATGCTCGGGCCGGCGGGGACCCCGTCACCCTCGCCCGGGCGCGCACGCGCACGCGCACGCGCGCACACCCCCTCGCGCTCCCTCACGCCGCCGACGTTCCATTTTTGAACCTGCGCAACGTTTTCCTCTGCGCGAGCGAGCGAGCAAGCGAGCGCGCGAGGAGGGGGCGGGGCGGGGGCTCGGCTCGCGCCCGGCAGGTCACGCCCCTCCCTCCTGGGCCTCCCCCTCCCCGAGGGCCCCGCCCCGCCCCCGATGGAGCCCCGCCCCTCTCCGCCGCCTTGCGGGGGGCCGCGTGCTGCTGCCTCGCGGCGCCGGTCCGCGGGACTTATTTGGCGCGGGCGTCGCTTGGTGTCGGGGCGGAACGAAATCTCAAGACCGAGACGCGTTTCTTAAAACGCTCCCGGTGACTCTGGGAGGCCGGAAACGACACGCCCCGGTTCGGCCGATGAGAAACGGGCCGAGAGCGCGGAGGCCATGTGTCCCCCCACCTCCCACAGCGGAGCGGGCGGGGCCGGGGCGCGGACCCCGAGCGGCGGGAGGGCGGGGCCAGCCGAGATTCGCTTCTGCGGACCGAGGCCTGTGGGTCCGGGCTCCAGAGCGGCGTGGTTGGGCCGGTCCTGAGCACTCGCCTGCATGTCCGTCCGTCCGTCCTTGGGCGGCTGTGCGGAGGCCCCCGGCTAGGCAGTAACTCGCCGCAGGTGTGGCGGGGGCGGGCTTTTCCGCCACGCACTTGGCGTTCGGCACATAATAGTCGTCCCACTGCTTGTGGAATGAATGGATCTTGAGGTCCCCGACGGACTCTGCCTCACCCAGGCCATCCCCCTTCTGTTTTCGCTCCGGCGCCACCATTCCTGCCCGCCCGGCACCGCGCCCCTCGCGCTCCCACCGCCTACCTGCGTGGATCCCAAGTCCTGCCTCCCTGCCCTGCTTCCCTGCACACCCCTCGTCCTTTCCGCGGGACTGCAGCGACTACCTCCTCACTGAGCTGCCGCCCCCTCGGAGCCGCGTCCACAGGGTGCCAGAGAGCGCTTTCTCCAATGCAGATCTGACTTGGTCACCCTCGTGCTTAAACACCTCCCGTAGCTCCTTATTCTCCTCAGAGTAAAGTCCAAACGCCTCTGTCTGGCGCACAGAAAAAAAGAAATGATAGATTTACGCTCCACTTTTTATCAGAAGCAACGGAAGCGAGCCAGAAGGCACTGGAATGATTTATGTCCAAGGAGAAAATAACCATCATCTTAGAATTACGTACCCAGTGCAATTTTTTTTCAAAAAGTATGTGCCCAGTGAAAATATCTGTCCAGGAGGGGGAGAAATAATAACATATGCTAAGACTAAGCCTTTGCCACTATCAGACCCTCCCTAAAGGAAATTCCAGCGGAAGAACTTCAGACAGGAGGAAGATGATCACAGACAGAGGTCTGATGCAATAGAGAATAAAGAACAATGAACATTGACGATATAAAACAATAACAATGTCTCCTGGATAAAAACAGAATTAAAATGCACAAGAACAATAGCATATAACTTGGATGAGCGGAGTTAAAGGGTTCTAAGATCCTTATGTTTGTCAGGAGGCAAGGGGAGATACCAAATACACTTAGACTTGGCCGACTTAATGTAAGTTGTGGTTACCAGGATAAACTAAAAGAATGGAAATGCAGCATATAACATTTATCCGAATTATTAAAGGAGGAAAATAGAATGAGGAGATACACCCAATCAATCCTAAAATCAGCAGGAGCAGAGAGAAGAATAAATATCAGGTGGGACAAAGAGATGACAGATACAGATTCAAATGTGCTAGGAGTCATACAGCAAGTGGGCTAAATGTTGTAATTAAAATGCAAAGACTATCAGACTGGATAAAAATGCAACTCCATGCAATTTAGAAGAGACCTCCCCAAAACGTAAGGGTACTGAAAGGATGAAAATAAATGCACAGGAAACTACATTATGCCAAGGCTAACGAAAAGAAGGCTCTTCTAGCTCCTTTAATACTGGGGCGAGGGGGGATTATTATTTCAGAGTGGAATAAGTGCAGAATGCAATGAAAAGGATCAGCAAAAAGAAAAATTACTTCTATGAAAACCCTCGCTAGAGATAAAGGAAGTCGCTTCATAATGAAAAGGATCCAATTCACCAGAAAGATAGAACCATTTCAAATTTGTGTGCAAATTCCATAATCTTAAAATATAGGAAACATGAAGAGAGCTACACAGAAAATAGACAAATCCACGATTCTAATGGGAGTCCTAAAAACATACCCTTTTGTAACTGGTAGAAGAAACAGAAATATATTCACTAAGAGTCTAAGAAATTTGACTAATGGACTTTCATAGAACACAGCAGTGACAACTCCAGAATTACATATAGAGTATTTACAAAGACGGCAAATCTCAAGAAATTTGTCAAGTTTGAAATCAGAAAGTACATCCTCTGACCTCAACACAAGCCAGAAGCTGATAACAAAAAGATAACTTCAAAAGCCTCATGTGTTTGGAAATTCAGAAGTATTTTTCTAAATAACCGATGGAAGAAGAAATCGTATGGAAATTATAAAATACTTTTATATTGTAACTGAATGAGGATGGAAACATCACATATTAAAAACTGCAGGGGTGTCTAGCTGGCTGGGTTGGAAAAGCCTGCGACTCTTGATCTTGGGGTCATGAGTTTGACCCCACAATGGGTGTGAAGATGACTTAAAAATAAAATCTTGGGGCGCCTGGGTGGCTCAGTGGGCTAAAGCCTCTGCCTTCGGCTCAGGCCATGATCTCAGGATCCTGGGATCGAGCCCCACGTTGGGTTCTCTGCTCAGCAGGGAGCCTGCTTCCCCCACCCTCTGCCTCTCTGCCTACTTGTGATCTCTGTGTGTGTGTGTGTGTGTGTGTGTCAAATAAATAAATAAAATATTTTTTAAAAAAATAAAATCTTTTTTTTTAATTGCAGGACACAGCTAAAGCATGACTTAAAGGGAATTTATGGCTTTTAATGCTTATATTAGAAAAGCGAAAATGCTGAAAGTAGTAAATGCCGATCTCAAGAAGCTGGAAAAAGAACAGTAAAGTAAAACAAAGAAAACAGAAGGAAAGACAGAGGGAAAGACAGAGCAGAAGGCAATGAAAAGGATCAGCAAAACCAAAAATTATTTCTGTGAAAACACTAATCATATTGACAACCTCTGGTGAAATTTATCAAGAAAAAAAGAGAGAAGGCACAATTAACCAGTGTCAGGAACAAAAAGCCGGAGAGTCTGCAAATATTGAGAGAAAGAAAAGATAAAAGGTAATTATTAGTAATTTTATGACAATAGCTTAAAAATCTTAATGAACTGGGAAAATTCCTAGAAAAAAACATAACTTACCAAAACTGAATGGAGAGAAAACCTGAATGAACATCCGTGGTTGTAGTAGCAATGAATCTAACAACAGAACACTGAGCGTTCATAGCAGGAGTCGACCTTAGCACTGAGCAGAGTCCGAGAGACCTCTGGCCATGTCAGGCATTAATGCTTTAATCTGTATGTCATCAGAAGGTCTGGGAAATCTGATGCAACCACTTGGGGGATTGGGAGTGGTGGCTTTGTACAAGCTGGTATGAAACATCTTGATATTCTAGCAACTCGATGTCCCCCTGATGTCCCATGGTGCCAACTGAGCATCAGACCTCCCCATAACCATTAGAAGAATTGAATCAATCACCAGTCATGTTCCCACGAAGAAAATTTCACCTATGAGTTCCTTTTTTTTTTAAGATTTTATTTATTTGCAGACAGAGATCACAAGTAGGCAGAGAGGCAGGCAGAGAGGGTGGGGGGAGCAGGCTCCCTGCTGAGCAGAGATCCCAATGTGGGACTCGATCCCAGGACCCTGAGACCATGACCTGAGCCAAAGGCAGAGGCTTTAACCCACTGAGCCACCCAGGCGTCCCCACCTATGAGTTCTTTAAAGAAGAAATAATCCTAGTCTCACCCCAACTTTTCCACATACCAGAAAAAGAGGGAATACTTCCCAATGTTTTGTAACAAGTACAGTGCAAAAAAATTATAGACCAATGTCTCTCGTGAATATAGACACAAAAATCTTTTTTTTTTTTTTTTAAGATTTATTTGAAAGAGAGAGACATGGCAAAAGAGGGAACACAAGCAGGAAGCGCAGGAGAGGGAGAAGCAGGCTCCCGGCTGAGCAGGGAGCCCAATGTGGGGCTCAGTTTTAGGACCCCAGGATCATGACCTAAACCAAAGGCAGATGCTTAATGACTGAGCCACCCAGGCACCCTAGACGGAAAAATCTTAAACAAAACATTGGCAAACCAAATCTGGCAGTATCGTGAAATGATACTGCCTTGTGAGAAAATTGGGTCTTGTTCAGAAATGCAAGGTTGGCTTAACGTTTGAAAATCAGTTGATGTAATTTACCACATTAAAAGTCAAAGGAGAAAGACATGGTCATCTCCATAGATGCAGGAAGGGTTCAACGTCTGTTTGTTTTAAAATGTGTCACAAACTAGGAATACAAGGGAATGTCTTTATCCTGGTAAAGGTATCTGCAAAAAACTACGGCAAATATCCTAGTTAATGGGGAAATATTGAAAGCATTCCCCTTGAAACTGATAACAAAGCAAGGATGGTCACAATCCCCATTTCCATTAAACACTGTACCAGATATCCTAGACCTGTGTTTTCCGAAGTAGTAGCCACTAGCCACCTGTGACAAATGAGATCTTGAAATGTGACTAGTTGCAATTGAGATGTGAGAGCAAAATTCAGTACATACTAGATTTAAAGACTTAGTACAACCCCTGGGGCAAATAATATATTATATGTTAATAAAAATAAGTTTTAAAAAATAAAGACTTAATACAAAAAAACCCTTAACATCATAAAATGTTTCATTAATAGTTTTATGTTGATTACATATTTTATACATTAAGTTTATATGAAATATATTATAAAAATTAATTTCACCTGCCTCTTTTGATTTTTTTAACGTGGCTACTAGAAGATTTCACATTATGCATGTGGCTGGCATCTATGACTCACATTAGGTTTGTCCTGGACAATGCCATCCTAGACAGCAAGACAACAAAAAGAAAACAAAAGTAATAGTATTAGAAATAAACAAAACTGTC